AAGTTAATTGTATACACGGTATTCGGACAGGGAACATTTCGTTGAAATTTCAGCTTTACGGACTTGCTGGTTCTTTAGCAAGTAATTTTCCTGCCAAAAATTTTCACGGGGCCGTACGTGACAACCACGTAAGCCCGAGGGCCAAGTTTGATAAATTAAAGTCGTACATGGGCTGGGAACACTCCCTGAAAATTTCAGCCTCCTGGCTTTTCCGGTTCCCGAGTTAGCAATTTTCGCGCCAAAAATTTTCACGGGGCCGTACGTAAATACCAGACAAACTTAGAGGCTGAATTTGATAATTTCAAGTTGAACTTGTGCTGGGAACATTCCCTGGGAATTTCAGCTCCCTAGCTTTTCTGGCTCCCAAGTCATTGACTTTCGCGTCAGGAACCCTCACGGGACCATAAGCGGGAACCACGCACAACTGGGGACTGAATTTGAAACTTTGAGTTCTTTGTGAACGGGGAACATAACCTCAAAATTTCAGCTTTCTAGCTTTTTTGGTCCCCGAGTTAGCGATTTTCCCGTTAAAACTTTCACCCCCTCGTACTCGGGGCCCAGACTTTTGTAAGGATTGGCACCGCGGTCCTGAGATGGCATATGGTCGGAGAAACCACCGGCAAAATTTTGGCGCCGGAGCTTGCTTGGATGCCGAATTGAAATATCCGGACAGACGCACACACACGCGCACACACACATACACATACATACACACCGGAATCGTCACAATATGAGTTTTTGCACTTGCATACAAACAAAACTTGCATAATTAGCACAAATCTATCTCGACTGCACTTACGTATGGGACGAGATTTCCCGTATCCTTCCCGGTTAAGGCTTACAGTGGCACTTTATCTCTGTGCTCAAAGCGGCCGACACATCCTCTCTCCTTCGGCTCCTTTTCCAAACTTCCCAAGCCTCCTCCACCACTATGCTAATCTGTTATTCCGCTTGGCGCTATCTATCACTATTTAGTAATGTTAGCCCAAATAGTGACACACTAGGCTCGCCGGTGGTATCATAAGTTTTTCCATGACTCCACTCTGTAGAGAGATAGCCTGCATTACCAAGCTGTGACTGCGGTGTTAAGTTTCAACATTTGATATGCCTGTACATAAGGTTCGTGGCTAGGCAAAAGGCCTTCCTACGATTATTGACCGAACACGAATATAACAAATGTCTTCAAAAAATACTGCATCCTGCTCCGCCTTGTCGCCGAGTTAATTGGATGGCAACAGTGTTTCAAACTAAACTTTTAGTTACGTACACGTAAGACCTAAAAATGTTTTAAAGCTGAATTTGAAATATTTCGGCAGCAAATAGGCGCAAAATACCTCCGTAAATTTCAGCTTCCTAGCATGAGTGGTTGAGAAAGCTGCTTTTCGTTACTCTCTTTAATGCGCCCGAACACGCGACACAGACAAAAGCTAAAGCTCATTTTACCTCTTACCTCTAGTTGCCCATCTGTGAAAACAAATGTTCTCGCGAAGTTGAAACGCCTTAGATCCCGAAGTAGCAATTTTAACTTAAAGTGAGTAACAGAATGCGAGCACACGGAATACATACGCATATACAGACAGAAAGCGTCTTGTTAATGAGCGTTTTTGTAACTGCATAAATGTGTAAAAGCGCATAAAAAACCGTAATATGGGGGTGGTTGCTGATAATGCGTTTTTGCATGTATGCAAATGCGATCTCAGGCTGCAACGCACCGAGCTTGCCGGTCCGATCGCGCACTTTTGTGCAAAGTTTGCAAGTTGTTAACAGCAGTAATGGTCCCTGCGCCGTAATTTATCATTTGGAATCATCGGCTATGTTTTGGGCTTTTCCTGTGTGGAGGGAAGCGGAAAGGCAGAGGGCAGGGGAGAAGGGAGAAGAAGGGCAATGGTTTGGGATGAAATTACTGCATCAGAACCACGTGGATTTCTAGCGTTGCATGACTATCAGCTTTTTGCATGAAGAGCAATCGTTTTTCTGGTGTAACTGCCGCCCATCGAAAACCCAGGCTGGAACGCACCAGGCTCCCCGGTGCGATCATGGGTTTTTGCACTAAAGTCGCAGACTGGCATTAGCAGGAATGATCCCTACGCTGTAGTCTAACACTTGGGCTAATATTGGTCGTGCTTTGATCCTTTCTGGCGTGCAGGAAGAAGGGCATCAGTTAGGATGAAGGTGGTGCATTATAGAGCCGCACGGGCATTCAGGTGCATGATTACTGGTTTTTTGCATGAAGTCCGGTCGTTTTTTCGGTAAATGCTCGCTTTGTGAAAAAATAACATATGTAAATTTTTTGAAAAAATGCAAATTTCCAGTTCACTAAAAAGCGGAAGTATTGCTCGAGTGATCGTTTGTCAAACGTAGGCTGGAACGCACCAGGCGAGCCGGAGCGATCATGCGTTTTTGCACAAAA